TATTGTACAATGCCCTTATTCATAGTCATTTGGATTATGGGTGCTTTGTCTTGGAACCCTGTAATAAGTCTTCTCTAAAGAATCTAGATAGGATTCAGACCAAAAGCCTTCGTATAATCATTGGGTCAATGAAATCTTCCCCAATAAATGCTCTCCAAGTCGAATGTGTACATCCCCCTCTTTAACTAAGAAGACAATATCTTTCGGACCGATTCTTTTTTTAAAATCTACCAACTCTCTTCCCACCCGCTCATTTCTAAATTACACCTTCTTTTGGAATATATTTCATCAAAGCATTACTGGACTCATAAAGAATCTCCCTGCTTATCCAACAGTTTGGTAACATTACTCCATCTACCACACCCAGTATCTCAATGCAAGTCCTGTCCCATCTTTGATATCCCATATGATGCAATTATTTATCAACCAAATATCCACCTCGACCTTGGTATTGAGAAAGATTGCCCTATAGAAAATAGTAAACTAAGTAGAGTCATAGATAACTTATGGAAAGGCTGGCTTATTATATACACTGATGCCTCCAAAAAGTCAGGTGAAAGTTGCACTGGAGCAGCCGTTTGGATTCCCAGATACAAAATAATCCTCAATTTTAAATGCCCTTCTATTTCTTCCACTTTTACTGGCGAGGCCACGGCAATTTATGAAGCTTTAATTTATATAGAAGCACACAACCTAAATAAGTCAGTTATTCTTACCGACTCCAAAAGCTGTTTGTTAGCAATTTTGTCAAACCAGTTCCAAAGTAAATATAAGATACCCTTGATCCTCAAAATTAAACACGCATTGTATACATGTCATCTCAAGGGTATTCAGGTTTCCTTAGCTTGGATTCCAGGTCATAGTGGCATCAAGGGCAATGAAACAGCTGATCTGATGGCTAAAAATGCAAGTCGAAATGGTTTGCCATGTAATTTAGTTTACTCTTCAGACATAGTGTTACTTGCAAAGAAGAAGTTAAATAATAATTGGAATACATTATGGAAAGCCACTCAAAATATAAAAGGTAAACACTATGCTGCTATACAAGGTGCCATCCCTCCAAAACCATGGTTTTTCAAATTTAATAAAGCTAACAAACAGTCAACATCAACTATCTGTAGACTTCGAATTGGCCATGCTTGTACACCAGTACATTTAGCCAAACTGAGGATTAGGGACAGTTCCCTCTGCGAATGTGGGTTAGATGAGGGAACTTCTGACCATATTTTTTTTAACTGTCCTAAATTATCTTCTTCACTCTATGATCACCTCCCTCCTGACATCCCTCGTCCTATAAATTTTGATTCACTTTTAACCTACACAAACACTCCTTATGTATATATTCTGTGTGATTTTATTAACTCTAATAGTATAAAAGTTTAATGTTTGTCAATACTAATATACTAAAGTAGTTATAGCAACTGTGTTTGTCATTTGTCCCAGGTAATTCAACAGTACAACCACTAGTATTATAAGATAAAAAGGAAAATTTAATTGTGTAAATAAAACAAGACACTTGTATTATCACAATCTTCTTTAGTTCATGGGTATAGTATTTGTAACTACTGAGCTTGTACTCAATAAACACTTCCACGCTGACATTGGCGAATAATCAAAAACCGCCATAAAAAAAAGAAAGAAAAAAAAAACAACTATATGTTGTTTTTCGAAATTATCCATGAAAATGTCCGCCATAAGTGGAGGACCCCATAGCTAGTCCTTCTTTTTGTAGATAGAAACGTTTATTAAACCGGAAATAATTTTGTTTCATACAGAGAGAGAGATTAAGTTAAGAAGATCATTTGTTTCCCCGGGATGTAGACGACGCTTTTCAAAGAGATCTGAGAGTATACGCAAACAGTCAGGAGATGGGACATTTGATGAAGTCTGACCCAACCAAAAAGTTTACTTCGGATATTATAGTATGTATACAAAAGTCGTCATATGTTTTTCCCGATCACAACTTGTCTCGGAGCAATCTTGTTCCAGTGAATCCTCAAGCACCCACTTTATATGGGTTACCTAAAATACATAAAGAACATGTTCCTATTCGTCCATTTGTATATTATTTGTATATTATTCACCAGCTTATTTCCTTGCTAAAAAATAAAACTTCCTCCTTCGGGAGAAATCTGGTTTCAACCCAACTTATAGCCTTAAAAATAGTTTAGATCTCATTTCCAAAATTAAAGATATTCTTATTCCACCTTAATTTATGTTGTTATCTTTAGATGTTGATAGTCTTTTCACAAATGTCCCATCCCCTGACTGTTTGCGTATACTCTCAGATCTCTTTGAAAAACGTTGTCTACATCCCGGGGAAAAAAATGATCTTAACTTAACCTCCCTCTGTATGAAAAAAAATTATTTCCGGTTTAATAACCGTTTCTATCTACAAAAAGAAGGGTTAGCTATGGGGTCCCTTCTAAGTCCACTTATGGCGGACATTTTCATGGATAATTTCGAAAACAACAAATATAGTTGTTAACCAAAATATCTTATACTATTATCGATATGTAGACGACATAATTATTTGCTGGACCGGCACAAGGAGACAACTGGATGTTTTATATAAAATAAATAGAGTCCACGAAAAAATTAAATTTAAGCTTGAATTGGAACAAGATTGCTCCCTTAATTTCCTTGACTTAACAAAGACAAGAAAAAAGTCGTTGCATGTTTTTTAAATTTATCGAAAGCCAACTCATACCGACACGGTCATCCGCACGTCATCGTGTCATCCATCTTTTTATTGTTACATTAACCGTCTGTTTACTGTTCCATTAAGTAAAGAAAATTATTTAAAAGAACTTAATATCATTTATCAAATTGCAGTCTCTCTTTTTAAAAAACCTCATTAATAATCTTATTAAAAAGAAACAAAAGCATATTTTTCGCAATTCTTTGTACGCGGTTCGATCTCAAAGTGTCCGGCAATATGTGGGTAGTTTGACCTACTTAGGCTCCATATCGGAAAAAATAGCTAATACTCTTAGAAAAAAACAGCGTTAACGTGGCATTCAAAACAAACAATTCGCTTAGGAATATTTGTAATAATAAAGAAAAATTAAATATTAGTCAAAAATCGGGTGTTTATAAACTTGTTTGTGACGAATGGCAAGCCGTTTACGTGGGTCAGACTGGTCGCAATTTCGGGACGCGCTATAAAGACCATTTGGCCGCGTACAGAAATTGCAATCCTGATAAATCCCATTTTGCTAAACATCTCTTGGACACTGGACACAACCTAGCCAGCCATCATTCCATTGAAGTCTTACATATTTGTAACAAGAGGCTGCGACTGTGTGTGCTGGAACAGTTGGAGAATTACAGAAAATAATAATGGTAACAATGCACTGCTGAATGAACAAACAAATGTTTCTAATTCACCTTTGTTAAACATCTTTAAGGCTAATCTTTAATAATAATTTTAAAATTAATAATAATAATAAATAACTATAATAATATCAATAAAACAATAATAATTATAATTAGTTGTAGGTTTGTTATCGCACGGCGCGGTCAATTGCTACTTTGGTGGGGAGCGGTTGTGTCAGCGTGTATAAATAGCAGCTGTTTCGGCTCGCCGCTCACTTAGCGGTCAGCCACTGTAGAGTCTATATCACCTGAGGATGCCTCGTGTAGAGGCGAAACACGGGTCGTATTATCGCCGATGGTGTGTCTTACCTGGAATAGTGGTGTTGGAAGTAGTGGTGCGGGGACTAGTGGTGACGGAGTTAGTGCATGCAATTGAGGGAGGGCGGGAGGTGCTCTTCAATCCTGGTAAGACACATCATTGTATTTTGTTAGCGGAAGGTTGTGAAGTAATTAATATTTTTATCAGTGTAAAATAAGCTCTTATGGGCTTAACCTCTCCCGCTGGCAATTTTAATTGAATTGTATCTTATACTTCTTATTGAATACAACTTGTTTTGAGATCTTATGATACTTGGCTTGTAAGATAGGAGTTTTTGAGTAAATTCTATCAATTATACCTGTATAGGGGACTACTCTTACTTCAAAGATTTTGGGTCTTCTTGTTGTATGTGTAGATGAAGTGGGGTTAGCTCCAGTAACCCCTCACCGAACCTCTAACACCTACACCTCTAAAGCTGCAGTTGATGTAGTTCTTATGCAGCCTGTGGCAGCCATACATGCCAGTCTCTGGTAACGCTGAAGCTTCTTTATAGTGGTGGTTTCATTTGTTTTGGTCCACCATAGCAGATATTATTATTATATTACGCCAGCTTATGAAAAATTAGTTTGTTTTAAAATAAATTGTTAATAACATTTTGGAAAATTTTAAATACATTTTTTCCTGAATATTCCTGGTCAAAAGTGATTATAGTTACCAGCCTTAGTCAAACTACTTTTAACAAATATTTTTCAGTCAAAACTACTTTTACCTAAACTTCTTTAGGATTTGGACATTTTTTATCTGTCAATATTATAGCCTTTACCAGGAGATAGTTTTGATTGTAACATATCTTAATATTATATAAATTATGTATCCACATGGTTTGTCTCTTAACTGCTGCTGATGGACTCCTAAACTGCTTAACCAATTTTAATGAAATTTGCACATCGTGTGCTGTTTGACCCAACTTGAGAGATAGGATAGTTTTTTTGCCCATAAGTGACGCACAGGTTTTTTTTTTTGCGAAAACAAGGATTTTTAATAGGTTTAGACAAAGTGTAGTCGAAAAGGGCAGAACAACATCTGCCTGGCAAGCTAGTATAATATATAACTAAGGTGCTATTAGTTATTATAATTGCCGAGTGAAGAAATACATTATGGACATAATATATACAAGAATATAACATTATGAAATGTAATATGATTATTTTGTAGAACTCGATAAAATGATTGTGATAAATTCTCAGTGATTTTACTGTCATATAATGGTCAGAGATTTTATTATAAGTCCATTAAAATTTATAATATATAAATTAATAATAATTATTATTAACCAAAACTATAATAATATTGACTCTTACAGATAGAAAAAGATGAAATATTTTTGCGGCGTGTTATTGGATCTAAGAAAGACCAATTTTTCCTCAACAAAAAGGTTGTACCACGCTCTGAGGTACTTAACCTATTGGAAAGTGCTGGACTGTCAAACTCCAATCCATATTACATTGTCAAACAGGGAAAAGTAAGTATTTTATTTATTTTATATATACTCCAATCTAAATTTGTAAGATTTAGAACTGATTGAAAATTATAAAATATTTTATTTTTAAAAATGCACCTGTTGTTTATACATTTGTGACACTATAATGCCTATTATACCATATATTTCACTTTTCGCTCACGTCTGTTACCCAGAGGGGTAGGCAGAGACTAAGGACTTCCATTTGGCTTGATCCTGACGGACCTCTCTCGCCTCCTTTACATCCATATATCTATGCATACATGCTCATCCGTTAAGGGTACTTCTAATGTGGCCCATTTCTAAAATATCGCCAATTTGGTTGATAAACTTTAATCTAGGGCGTCTTTTCCCAACTCTGCCATTCACATTTGTCATATAAATTTGCTTTGCCGCTCTTTCCTCATTCATTCTTTCTGCATGACCTTGTTATACCCTACGTCTTATAATGAGTGGTATGACTTGTTTAAATTTTATAAAAAAAAACTAGCATGTTTTATTAATTCAGACTTATAGTTCAAAATGTCACACAGCCTAAATCTTACAACAATCAGTGCATAATGTTACATGCACATCAAGTAGTTTAAAAAATGTCTTACAATGCAGCTACAAAGAGTTTCAAGTATGTAATGTCACTTCTCGGCAGTTAGATAGGCTTTATACTCTGGCTCTGTACTTGAATAGCCATCTTAGCCTGATTGTACGTATATATCTAAAATAATCAGCATTGAAAATTTCTAATGCAACTCTGTGTTATCTATAGAATATACACATATAGATATAATTGCAGTGTTTGTCTGTAATATCAAAATAACTGTCATGTATTGAGTTGAGTGGTCATTTGCATGCTATTAAGATATGAATAACCATCGGAAAGATAGAGAGCAATGCCAGGAGTGATCAGGACTATATTTTGTTCCAAAAACTTGAAGATTTTTAGAGAAAACAAAAAAATAAATGTTTTTAATTATCTAAAGTCGAAATAACACTACATCATTAGATTCTACCCAGGCAGAGCCAGGACAGGTCGCTTACAGCCGTACAATATCTACAGTTATCAGAAATATTTTGCAGCTCATCTTATAATGAGTGGTATGACTTGTTTAAGTTTTATAAAAAAACTAGCATGTTTTATTAATTCAGACTTATAGTTCAAAATGTCACACAGCATAAATCTTACAACAATCAGTGCATATAATGTTACATGCACATCAAGTAGCTTAAAAATGTCTTACAATGCAGCTACAAAGAGTTTCAAGTATGTAATGTCACACTGTCTTACACTTCTCGGCAGTTAGATAGGCTTTATACTCTGGCGCTGTACTTGAATAGCCATCTTAGCCTGATTGTACAAATATATATCTAAAATAATCAGAATTGAAAATTTCTAATGCAACTATGTTATCTATAGAATATACACATATAGTTAAAATTGCAGTGTTTGTAATATCAAAATAACTGTCATGTATTGAGCTTAGGGGTCATTTGCATGCTATTAAGATATGAATAACCATCGGAAAGATAGAGAGCAATGCCAGGAGTAATCAGGACTATATTTTGTTCCAAAAACTTGAAGATTTTTAGAGAAAACAAAAAACAAATGTTTTTAATTATCTCAAGTCTAAATAATACTACATCATTAAATTCTACCCAGGCAGAGCCAGGGCAGGTCGCTTACAGCCGTACAATATCTACAGTTATCAGAAATATTTTGCAGCTCATCTCCTGTCTACCATCACTTTATCAAATAACTTGTTTCATTTTTCATTACAGATTAATCAAATGGCGGTTGCTCCAGATTTGCACAGATTAAAGTTATTACGTGAGGTGGCCGGCACCCGAGTATACGATGAACGCAGGGAGGAATCCGTTACAATTCTGAAAGAAACTGTTGGCAAAGTAATTTGATAACATTTTACTTTTATCACCGTAATAGATCGCTCGATCTTGATTTACTATAAATTACAGAATCGAGATGCAGTCCTTCATTAATATTTGTTATTTCTAAGATATCAAGATATTTCATTTAACTTTATTTCACTCAGAAAGCTATGAAGATCAGAGATTATTATTGCATAAGATGTCCTTTTATAATAAAATCTGTTGATAGAAATTAAGTGAATCAGCAGATTGAAGTAGGTCTAAAATTCCCTATATATAGACTTGGCTTTGTTTGCTGGTTATATTATATTTATAATTTGTGATATTATTATAATCAATAAAACTGTAAATTTTTCTTTAGGTGGAAAAAATCAATGAATTTTTACAAACAATAGAAGAGCGTCTTAAGACCCTTGAAGAGGAAAAAGAAGAGTTAAAAGAGTATCAGAAATGGGATCGGGCGAGACGTGTTCTCGAATTCATTATACACGACACTGAGCATAGAGAAAATAAGAGAAAACTAGAGGAGGTAAATGTAACTCATTTATATGTTAGTGTAAATAATTTAGTGTTTATGATGAAGATTTTACTGTCCTGACTCTTCAACATGATTATGTGTGATACATAGTTATGTGTATTAGTTCGTAAAAGTAAATAGTTTCAGCCTATATATGTCCCACTGCTGGGCACAGGCCTCCTTATATTTCTAAGAGTGTACACAAATAAAAGTCTAGAGGTTTTAGTTCAGGTGCCCTCGCCGGCCATTTCACAGGTCAACCTGTACACCTATCACCGAATTGGGTGTCCAGATCGTTCGTAATGAGCTGAACATCCGTTGTGCTGGAAGTACATTCCTTGCAGTTGGCTCAAAGGAACGTTTTCGCAACATTGTGTCGATGACGAAACGTATCATTTGCAGATACGTTACTCCCATCAATCGACCATCAATCCATATTGGACCAACGATATGATCGTTAATGGTTGCCGTCCAAAAGTTAATACTGAAACAACCTTGATTAGCATGTTCTTTGATTTTGTATGGGTTTTGGAAACTCCACCAGTGCTCAATGCGCACGTTGTATATTCCAATACGGGTAAATATCTATTTGTCGCACCGTCTAAGTTTTCACCAGACAACTCGACATTAGAGTACTGATTCATGTTTACGATACACACTAGGAAACTTAAACAATACGACAGCTAATCATAGGTCACTGATATGAATGAGAGTGAGCTTTGCCCTTGAGCCTGTGAAAGAACAAGGACAAAGAGGCCTATTAAATCTTTATTTTACTGCTGCTCGTAAAGTAGGGTGCGTATGATTTGAATTTCAGTGGATTTTCATTGATTTATTTATTTAGTTCAAAATTTTTGTTTTAATTTTTTGTTTTTAAATTTTATTTAGTTTATTTCAAATTAGTAGTATTTATTGATAGTCAATTTCATGATATGTTAATGAAAAAAAATTTAAAATATCATTTCCATAGGCTTCTCTCTGTTCAACTGTTACACCCTGGTTTTTTTCCAGACCGTAAAAAGAATCTACCAGTATATTTATATAATCAGCACTTATCCATAAATTTCAAAGTATGCAAGGAACTCATGTTCGACCCTGCCGGCACAAATTAATTGTTAGTTTTAATTTTAACCCTTTGACTGTTATGGAATGCTACGATTGAAAACGTCAGACATGCTATATTCTCATCCACAATTTTGTTTTCGACTCAGTAGCAATGTGCCATGCCTTAAAATATTACGGATGTAAATTGTAGGTTATTAAAGGTAGGTTATTTGAATGAAATAACATTATTATTTACGAGGGTGGATTGAAAAGTACTCGGCCTAACCAAGAAAATAAACACATACTAAATCAGTTATATTTTTATTTTTCTACATAATCACCATCAAGTTCAATACACTTTTGCCACCTCCCCTTCCAAGCATTTAGACCGTTGAAAAAAATGATTCTTCCTTAGAGTCAAAATATGCGTCTACAGCTGCTTTGACCTCGTCGTTTGTCAAAAATCTTTGACCTCCCAAGTGCTTTTTTAGGTTAGGGAACAGAAAGAAGTCTGATGGTGCCAGATCAGGTGAATACGGCGGATGCGGTAAAAGTTCAAAGCCACAGTTGTGAATTTCAGCCATTGACTGTACTGACGTGTGAACACGGGCGTTATCTTGATGAAACAGGACTTTTCTTCTGAGCATTCCTCGACGTTTTTCTTTTATTTCCTCTCGTAAACGACGTAGTAAGGTGCAGTAGTAATCAGAGTTTATAGTCTGACCCCTTTCAAGATAATCAATCATAATCACACCTTTCGAGTCCCAGAATACTGAAGCCATCACCTTATTTGCCGACAAAATCGACTTAGCCTTTTTTAGGGGGTGGTGAACCAGGTCTTCTCCACTGTTTTGATTGTTGTTTTGTTTCCGGTGTACAGTAATGAACCCATGTTTCGTCCATAGTAACAAAACGATTCAAAAAATCATCTGCATCGGCTTCAAATAACTCCAAACAGTCGCGTGAAATAGTCAATTGCGTCCTTTTTTGTTCAACTGAAAGCAGTCGCGGAACCCACCTCGCAGACACCTTGTGGAAACCCAACTCGTTGACAATGATGTTTTGAGCTCGTTCATAAGAGATGCCTATAATCTCGGCTATCTCTATAATTTTTAATCTGCGGTCTCCCATTATTAAATCAAGTACTTTTTTAATATTTTCGTCAGTAGTTGACGTCGAAGGCCTTCCAGAGCGGGGTTCATCTTTCACACTCTCTCTACCACGCTTAAATTCTGCTATCCATTTTTTGACGGATGAATATGACAGAGCACAATCGCCTAATGTACTGACCATGTCATCATGGATGGCTTTTGATGATAGCCCCTTCTTATGGAGGTACTTAATGACGGCACGCTGCTCGATTTGCTCCATTCGCGGAAATTATGTCCGATTACTTTGTTAATAAATTTATAAAATCACAACTAATTATCGCACACGTTTCGAACTTCACACAATGAACTAGTCTGAACTGAACTAAATAATGTGGGTAGATTTGATTTTTAGAATTGAATGGATCTGTGTTAGGCCGAGTACTTTTCAATCCACCCTCGTAGTATACAAAAGCAAATTATATAGGCTAATGAAAAAAATATTGTGATCATTATTAAATATTTGTTTATTTTTTCATTAATTTCTCTTTAATTTATTAGCCAGGGGTTTTAAAAGACATACTAATATAACCCCTATAAGACAATTTATGGTAAAGGCCGATATTCAGTAGTGGACTTTTGATAGGCTGTAATTAATGTTTGAATGATACATATTATTGAAGGAGCAAGGAAAACGGTAATATGTTCGCAATCAATTTATTGGTAGTTGTTATGAAGCGAGAAAATAGAAGGCGGTCCGCGGTCGTGCCGCGGTTATTATACTATCTGTAGTATATAGGTGGTGGGGGTTATTCGATTGTCTAGTATATATTCAGTAATGTATGGGTGAAGTCATTATAGACAGTCAACGGCCGTGGCGTGCGGACGTATTCGGTATTGTACACTATCGCAGCACTGCCCTTTGTGGACATTGTTTGACAGTGTAAATGCAATATGATACATTGGGTTTTGGGGTTGGGGGGGGTTGTTTTTTTTTGGTTGTTTTTGGGGAGATTTTTTTTTTTTTTTTTTTTTTATATTTTAATTTTTTTTTTTTTTTTTTATAAAAAAAAAAAAAAAAAATTAAGGGGGGTGTTTAAAGGGATGGTTTTGCCGTTTTAAAAATTAAATTTTAAAATTTTTTTATGTGAATGTTTCACCAGACTTTATACATATATAATATTTATAAAGTCTGGTGAAACAGCATTTTATTTTGGAGATAACAAAGATTTAAATTTCCGCTCCACTAATAAAGTACACAGCAGCAGCTAAACTTTAATAAATTGCAGTAATGATAAAAAAATATATGTGATTTATATTTTTCTTGCTACAATTTCGAAAAATAAGAAGTGTGCTTCTTATTTTTTGAAATTGTACCAGTGTGGAGCCGGAGCAGGTCGCTAGTTTAGGATAAAATAACAGAATGTTACTAAAATCACATTAGACTCAATGTTTTTTATTTGTTACTTACAGTTAGAAAAAATGCGTTCAAATAGTGGCAAAGAGCAGCAACACTATGCAGATTTGGTGCGAGAAGCTCAAGACCATGTCAGAGAAGCCAACAGGTATGAAATATATAATTCACCTTCTGAATAATGATTTCTTATATTTACGCGAACACTACACATTGATTAAAACTACTTTTACGGATTTTATCGCGTTTATTTTACTATTATTTTTATTCCCGACGTTTCGGGCGCTTTCCAGCACCCATGGTCACGGGGGACTGAGATGACTGACGTCCCAATGTCATTGTTAAACCCGGTGTACCTTCAGCTTTTTTAATTATTGTTAATGGTCCGATCTACGCAAAATGAATTGACTATGTCCTGAGGTCTTGCAGTGGTATGCTTGGGTTTAGTTTTAATTTTATTGATTATAGAATCCCAAGCAGGTGGTAGTACCCAGCCTCCTTCTCTATTGAAATTAGGATGTTTTTTAATTTCAATAGCCTCACGTATCATCCTTGGTAGGAATCGGTGTTCTTTCGCGAGGATTTGTGGTCTATCAAATCTGGTGTAATGGTTGGGGCCGTCTAGAATATGATCCCAAACTGCAGACTTCCCGGAATGTTTGATGCTTCACATCAGCTATATGTTCTTTTACGCGGGTTCTAATTGATCTTTTTGTTTGTTCTATATAAGAGAGACCACATTCAAAATCAAGCATGTACACTCCTGCATCTTATAGAGGAATATGACACTTGACTGCTGGTAGGAACTGACTAATCTTCTTCGGCGGCTTGTAGAATGTTCTAATAGAAGCTCGCTTCAAGATGTAGCCAATCTTGTTTGTGACACCTCTGACATATAGTAGTACAGCAGGCACACGCTCGACTGTGCCCGGTTTCACTTGGTCACTGTGCGGAGGCGCGGGATCCGAAGCTTGTTGTCGTGCAGAACTTGCTTGACGTGCTGAAGATCGGCGGCCAGGTGTTTGCTGTCACAGATCCCTCGTGCTCTCTGTAACAAAGATTTGCCCACGGTAGCTAACTGTGAAGGATGGTGGTGAGATTCACCGTTTAAATATTGGTTTGTATGGGTCTTTTTCCTATACACAGTGTGACCAATGGTGTTGTTAGGATTTCGGATGACTAACACATCTAGGAAAGGTAAGGAATTATTTGCCTCTAACTCCATAGTAAATTGAATTTTAGAGTTTATGGAATTAAGATGTTCTAAAAATGCAGTTACTTTGTCTGATGGTAAAATTGTGAAAGTATCGTCTATGTACCGCTTGTAGATCCTTGGTGTAATAGGTGCAGTAAGGAGGGCTTTCTCCTCAAAGTCTTCCATGAATATATCGGCGACAATGGGAGATACAGGTGAGCCCATCGCAAAACCATCTACTTGCTTGTAAAACTCTTCCTTCCACAATGGATAGCCAGATGTAAGGCAATGTCTGAGTAATACTGCATATTCTGCTGGCATATTATTTTCCTCTAGTTTCCTAGTTATAATTGAGATGCAGTCTTCAACAGGTAGGCTTGTAAATAGAGACTGAACATTAACAATGACATCGGGACGTCAATCATCTCAGTCCCCTGTGACCATGGGTGCTGGAAAGCGCCCGAAACGTCGGGAATAAAAATAATAGTAAAATAAACGCGATAAAATCCGTAAAAGTAGTTTTAATCACCTTCTGAAGTTAATGCCTTAGTAATATCAAAATAATATTTGCCCTTAAAATGGCATTATCTCTTCAGTATTTTGTTTTCAAAGTCAAAACATTTAAATTTAATTAAGGCTTGTTTATGACCATCAAAATATACACAGAATTGTAAAAACGAGACCTCAGAGAAGGCTAAAATCTCTGGAAATTATTCCTGAGAAGACCTCAGGTTTTTTATTTTTTTTTTAAATGCATGGCACTTATTTTAAAACTTACAATAAAATTGTTATAATTTCAAATATCTGTTAGTATGTTTTTAATCTCAGTTTATAATAATCAATATTCGGGGAATTGCATGTAAAAGTTATTTTCATACACCATCATCATGGTCGTTAAAATATTGATTACTTTTATGGTATTTTTTTAGATAAAATTTCCTTAATTAGTGTTTTAAAGTTTATTTCTGATTGTTTATGCTATGCACTATATTTTTAAGTGATTTATGGTAAAATTTTATAATATATAAGACTTGCTAGTTTTAACCAATTTAAATTTAGAAAGAAACCTTGGGTATAATTTCGCCCCATCCGTTCTACAGATAACAGTCCGTTTCTGGGGTATAATCTATTTTTGCTGCCAAACTGCAAGGCACTATCTCCTTATTTGCGGAAAGGTAACAGAAGGGTAATTCTTCTTATGGAATATGACAAATTTGCACATAAGCATAATTTAGTCTATGTGTGGGTTGGGCAATTAAAAATAAACCGAGACAAAATAATCGCTGTTTATTTCTTTCACGTTGTTTTAGATTGCTATTTTAAAAGTTAGATACAGAACTATATAATTATATTGGAAGAAACTTAAAATATTAATTCTGTGTTTTACTTCTTTTTAGTTCGCACCTTAGTATAAATACATACATATTACTCTGAGGTTTGAACAAGTAATTGACTTAATAATTGACTACATACTAGCAACATGTATTTAGAGAAGCCATGAATTAATAGAAGAAAAAAAATGACATTTGTTTGTCAACTTCTTTAGTGTTGAAAATATTTTGTCAATTTACTCAAATTTATTTCTAAGTTTAAATTTTATCTTTTTATCAGATTAAGAGTTCCTTTAATCGACGAGCATATGCGGAGGTATATGGATGTAAAGGCGGCAAGAGAGGTGTGTCAGGATCTTGCCAAATGTGTGTCCATAGTCTCTGCCTACCCCTCTGGGTGACAGGCGTGAGTGTTTATGTATATATGTGTGTATTTTATTAATAATAATTGCCGTCTGTTTAAGTGCCATTATTATGGGTCCGGAATACTTCATATTCGTTTGTATACATTTCACACAAACATACAATCATACACTCACATATACACGCATTTACACTATACACGCTTCTTATCAGCTGGCCGACGTCTCGTAGGTTCGATTCCGCGCGGCGTCATCGATACAAAGCCATATTTGGTAATAGATATTGAAAATAGATGCAAGACCATATTATATGGTAATTACGTGAAGCAGTGGTTGCCGGCCGGATGTATTAAAGCACAGCCCCCTTGACCGATCTGCTAGTCGCTCAGTCGCATAGAGTGGAGTAATATATACAGAAATAGAGAGCCATCTCCCAGGATTTTTTATCACCCAATATGAATAGTGTCGTCGTCTGGTATCATATCCGTTGAACTAATCTCAATATTTTGATTACAGATAGCTGTATGTAGTTATGTTATCTATACTATAGGCAGTTATATTTATATTTTAAGGGATTAGGATTCAATTAAACACGTATTATAGATTACAGTAATATAAACGTTTATTTTTGTTATATATATTTAATAAACACGATCTAAAAGCGTCTATTCCGCAAAATAAAACATCAAACCAAATTTAATATGTGCACCGGGTTACCAGAATGATAAATGAAAGCGTCTATTTCGCACAACACTACACATACATACAATGTGGTTCCAGCATGAAAATCTAAACAGTCAACAGGAAACAGGGGGCTAATCTCAACTCAACCAAACTTATTGTAGCAACAACCGAAAATCACATAAATGGCAAAAGTGTTCGTGAAAACAGCGACTTGCTCACACGCCGGTAGCCATTATGTCCTATAAAATTGCTACTTGCCAGTTCGAGAATAACCATAATTGTTGTAGTCGCCATCTAGCGCACCTTTTGGAATTTAATGTTCGAAAGTTTATGCGGATATCGTATAAGATGGCACTAGTGTCTTAGCAAATTATTGGATCCCAACCTAAAGTACGGAAGTGTACCCCCCCCACCTGCTCAGTCGCTTAAGTGCTTCGATGCGGAGAGATTGTCGCTTTGTCTCACGATCTAAAATTACTTACGTGTCCGATCTTTTGTTAATTTATTATCTTGTTCTTAGTTTCTCTCTACCTCTGTATTTCTTGAGGTGACCTCTCCAACTTCACGTTTCGGTTTAGAGGCACGCTAAACTGAAACGTGAAGTTGGAGAGGTCACGTCTAATGAAGTCAACGCTCCGTCCCCCTTGTGCTTTAATCCAAAGTCCCGAAAACTTTGAGCTAGACTTACTAAATCATTTTCGGTGCCTAGAGAAGACTGCAATGCTGTAGACTATATGAATGACAAGCTTGTGAAAACTCTTCATGTGGTCGGAGCTAAGTTCTGCAAGAACATAAAAAACTGAAAAACACAAATTCTCCTCTCAACTCTTTTAATCTCATGGCTTTTAGACGAAGAATGAAGCTGCAGTCTTCAGCAGATTTGACAGTATACAGGCAACTGCAGATACAGATCTCCAAATGCATGTGGCGGGTATACGCAACTTTAATACTGCTCGTATTGAAGAAGGGATGGAGCGGAACCAGGGCTCCAAAGTCAAAAAGCCAAAGCCGAAAACCGAGTGTGGCAGTATCGTTTCCTAGACACCTAAGATTTTGAGTGAGATTGCGAAGTTCTATGGACAGCTGTACACGTCATCGTTGGAGCCACACGCAAGTAACGATTCAAGAGCAAGTCTTATCCCATACTATTCCGATGATATCCCGGACGTCAGTCTCAGCAAGATTCGAATGGCTGGCCCCAGGCGAGGATGGAATTATAACTGAAATTTCTAAAAGCGGGTGGAAAACCAGTACTTGAAGTTCTTCAGAAGCTCTTTAGTTCCGTTTTCTATGATGGGACTACTCCGGAGGCGTGGAGCAGAAGTAAGTTAGTCTTGTTCTTCAAGAAAGGCGACAACGCTGTCTTGAAGAACTGTAGACCGATTTCCCTTCTAAGCCGCGTCTACGTGCTAGTTTCGAGAGTCATTATAAATCGTCTCGTTTCCAAATGGGCTTCAGCACCATAAACAAATTGACAAATTGTACAAAAGACCGAAGAGTACAATCTACCACTTTGCCTTGCGTATGCGGACTATGAGGAAAGCCTTCGATCCCTTCGAAATTTGGGTGTTGCTATAGTCCCTTCAGCGTTTTCAAGTTGGCTGTCGGTATATCAAAGTGCTGAAATGTTTAAAAAGTAAGGCTGTGATGGTTATCCGAGTACAGAACTAGAGTACGAAACCCATTCAACTACAGAGAGTTGAAAGACATGGTGATCCCCGAAACTCTTTACTGCTGCATTGGAAGATATTTTCAAGGTACTATTGTAATGTTACGTTACAGTCATGTTAAGCTGAGTATACACAGTGGTTTTTCACTCGACTACCCAAGAAGGGGTATGTTTCCGAGTGTATATGAAAATATTAATACGCCAACACTAAAATTTATTCTAACAAAGCAAGTAGAACATCGTCATCTATTTTTCGTGTTGCAATAAATTTTAGTGTTGGTGGTGTTGTACTTGTACCTGAAATTTCTGTTGTAAAATAAAGTGAAATTATTGATGATGAATGTGCGAACCAAATTTATCTAATTTCTGAAAAGTTGTTTTAGTAATTTGGTAGCGTTTGCTAACTTTAAAAGATAGAATCGTCATCGGGATTATATTAGAAAACGATAACAAGATGTTTGTCATCACAACATCTGTCATGTTAAATTTAGTTTCTAAGTAAATTGACACTTAAGTTTTGTTTCCAATTTCAGTTGTAAACTGTTGTTTTTATAACTTTACAGTATAATTTTGTGTTCTTACCCATGTATGCTACACAATGTCTGAAAATTTTCAGGATTCTATTTTATCACATAGGTTACAGAGGTACTCCCTTATTAATGCCAAGAAAAAATTCCACTCCCTAAGGATGAAAAAAAAAACGTGGAATGAAGTTTATAATGTAGCAATTATGACAAAATTTTCATCTTTATCTTGGACTTGTTATATTCCTTTGAAAAGGTTAAAATATGAAAAATAAAAGCCAACATCATAAATTAAAAAAAGACATAATTATGATCCCCGAAATAGCTTCTGCTATATGATTAACACTGACATTTAAAAAAGTATTATTAATAACTGGAAAACCAAGTTCACCGAAATAGTCTTTCGTATTCGCAAGCTGAAGTGGCAATGGGCTCAACCACAACTGTCGCAGAATTGCTAACCTTTGGAGTAGACGTATCATAGAGTGGAGTCACCACTTAGGTAAACCCAGTGTCGGCTATCCCCCAGCTAAAAAGAAAATCGAGGTTTTAATTTTTATATATGCATTGCTATTTTGGATGGAGAAGGAAAATAGGAGCTAACGTCGGGCAACGTGTTCAGCCTGGGAAGCGGCCAATGCTCCGTGTGATTTCGGAACTTTGATAGCGTGATTTAGGTTTCGGTGCGTTTCGCTTGTGGCGCGGCGACAGCGCCGCCACACTATGTCTTAGCAACAACTTTATAAGCTTTTATGTGGATATTATTTCATTCTTTATAGTTTTTTTCTATTAGCATTAGTAATTGTAGAAAGTCAATTTTGTTAATTCCGCTTGTTTAAAAGGATGAGAAACTGTGCGATAAAAGAAGAGTGTGGTTTGCAGGATGATGCAGTGACTAGGATTAAGAGCGCATATTCAAATATGTCCAAGTCGAAATCTACGCGATCGCTTTGGAACGGCGTAATATTGACGCACACTACAATGTTATCTCTGTGTGCGTGTCAGTGCGAGCGTGATTCTATAATAGTTGCCTAACGACGACTTCTTTGATACTATTGGAACTAAAATAATAAAAAAATAATTTCCATATAATGGCTTATATAGTGTATAGAAATCGGAGGCTAATATGTGGAAATTGTTTTATTCTTTTAGTAAATTGAAGTCGGCTTTACTTTTTCACCCTATTGAGTAGGTATATTATAATATGTATATGTTCTAATTGAAAAATATGTATTGCATAAAATATATATCATTTGATAAACTTTTATTCTGTTTCATAATGTAAACATAATTCATCACAAACTAACAATTTCATTAGTGTCGGCGGGGGAGTAGTGTTGCCAGGTCTAGCAAGTAAAATTTCGGGACGAAGGTAAAAATAATCGGGGATTTGGTTTTCATATCCAGACAACTACAATGACTACAAAATATAGGTTTCTTTGTAGCCTTTTTTGTGCTTTATTGAGAGCCGTGGTAGCTCAGATGGTCAACGCTAACTGTAAAGTGTAAATATCACATGCGAGTAATGCGAGAAATTGTGACTGTAACTTTACTTTATTTTTGTGCTTTATAATTATTATTCGGGTCTGATCTCATAAACGAATAACTTTTCATCCAAACGTCGTAAAAACTGATTTTGTTTTTAATTTTAAGCAAATTAAAACATTTTTGAACTATTTGTTTTTTTGCAGTCCTTGAATTTTTCAAATCACTCATTTTAATATAATTCTGTTTAAAACTTTTGTGGTTTTTTTTCGACTAGTGAGACAATGTCGTAGTAAAAATATTTTAATGTGGTAGTAGCTAACAGATATAATCATTTTTGCTGTCTAAATTATGGATTAAAGTATATAATAAGAATGTTAGTGAAAATGGGGACATTTGGCGTCCCGATCAAGGGTGAATCGGGACGTGTCACTAGACCCTTGAAAATCGGGACATCCCGCGCAAATCGGGACATCTGGCAACACTAGCGGCGATCGAGCCCGGATTGTTCGCGTTTACGGCGAGCACTACGCCCTTGAGCTACTCAACTCACGCAGGGCGCATATGTTTTATGTCGGGGGGCACGGTAGTGCCCCCGCCAAGTCGAGCAAAACAGCGGCACGGCCGTATCATCATTGCGAGACTTGGTTATTTTACAAGTTATGTTTTTGATGGCATGTCTTTGTTTAATCATAACGTTATCTCCGCACTAGGAATTTTTCCTAAGTACATCGTTGGGGCAGTTTAAATACATTAATTTCACAAGGACAAACATCCAGACCTGGAACAATTATTTGTAGGTAATACAAATTTTTGCTCAATGTGGGATTCGAACCTGCGGCGCTCAGCGCTACAAATCATTACCAAGTCACTCCGCCACGGAGCCAAAGGTGAAAGCCAACGATTTTGTATTTTTACTTGATCCGAATTGCTTACGTTCATTACTCATTTCTAAAAAAATATGTATGAAATGAAAATTTGTCACCATTACATCATTTAATATTTAAATATTACAATCATAAACATATTTCAAAATTACTTACTACCAAAAATATCGCTTATAAAAGTCTCAATCGTTTAAAACGCTCAATCGTTTAAAATGCTCGATGGTGCTATAGGTATCTAGTTATAGTATAGTGTAGTATATCCCTATCGGTGTATCAACGCGATCGCGCGGTGTCTGTGAGAAAAAGTGATACATCCTGTCGTTGGGATTACCCGGAGCGTACTGAATCGAACGTGCCTGCGCATGATGTTTTATAGTATGTTTAAAATAATTATATAAAATAATTGACAAAATAAAACGAGCTAAATTTTTTTTGGATATTTAACATTACATGTATTTTGATAAAATAATTAAAATAGATACGTTTATAAGCAAATACATGGAAAAAAAATTACATTGAAGTAGACAGTTTTGGTGATTTTATAATATTATTTTATAATAAATCGAAATATTTTCGTAATTTAGGTTTTGCTATACACTAAAAGACTATATATTCCATTATAATAACGCTTAAAATAAAGTATTTTAGCTTATAATAATGGTTGTATTCAACCTGAAAGATAACTCTGATGCATATTTTCGTAAAACACAGTGAAGGGATTGTCTTCGCCCTAAAAAACCGTCATTAAAAACGATGATTTTGCATTGCTATGTACTAAATAAAGACTTCATCTTTCTAAAGCCCTAATTTGAGCAAATAATCTCCTCACGTCGTTACGATATCGCCTTTGGAAAAACCATAAAACATGTAGTTTTCGACGCGAAACGCATATGCCCTCTTAAGAAAGGAATGCTTCGGTGGTTTGTTCATGTAGAAAGAATGAATGTGGAAAGACTGACAAAGCAAATATAATATGTTGCAGAAGTGAATGAAAGAGTCGTAAAGGGACGTCCTAGGCGAAAGTTTGACGACCAAATTGGCAATATATTAAAAATGGGCCAATTAAGAGTGCCCTTAACCGACGAGCATTCATACGTATGTATATGGATGTGAAAGAGACGAGAGAGATATGTCAGGATCGTGCTAAATGGAAGTCTGTAGTCTCCGACTACCCCTCTGGGTGACAGGCGTGTTATGTGTTATGTTTTTATACAACCGTCTAGTTTTATAAAAAATTGAAGTTCTGATCAATGTTCCTTTTTATCTTACAATCAAAATACTTGATAAAGCTTTTTCCTTAACAAATTATTGGTTCGGCATATTACGAAGAAAATAGTTTTCCATTATAATCACCGTCAGTTGTTAATGTTTACGTAGTAACTGGTTTAAATTGAACTTAACTGTTGTTATTAGACTTAAAAATATACTACAATTGTTATAGAAAATTAAAAGAAGCTCGCAAGGACGTAGCTGCGGCCCGCGAGGAGAAAGATATCCTGTCCACAGAGCAGCAGCAACTGCTGCGGGAGAAGACCAAACTGGAGCTCGGCATTAAAGATCTCACGGATGACGTCGACGGCGATAATAAATCCAAGGTCAGCCCTAATATTGACTCCTGACAGACTTTCTGCATGTTGCAATCTTATATTATCATTTCCATCAAAGTAAATAAAGTAAGTAGTCTTTAAGTTTTGGTTATTCATCACATAATTTAAATAAAGCAAAGCAAAAGAATCAATATGATATAAGCAACTAATGTTTATTGTACAAAACATAATAAAAATACACACGTATTATAATATTAATATGTTAAAATCGAAAATTAAACTACTAATTTAGTAACTATTATAAAAAAAGGAAATTACACTTCAAAAAGGTATGATGCCGTAGATATGCACAAATAAGATAATCTTGTGTTATGGTGCACTTCAGCAGCATTAAATAATATAATTGCTAAATTGCTAAAGAAGAAAAACACTAAGAAAATTAAACTTTATCCTCTTACACTTGAAATTCAAAATTGAAGATATCCTAACATCAAAATTTACCAACTTGTAAAATGCAGTAAGGTACTGCAAAACAACAACGGTCTCCATCATTTTATTTAATTCTTCATTCTCTTTCAGTTTCTTATGATTATTTCACATGCTATGTATCTCGTAATAATTATTTATTATATATTATTTTTACCGCACATTATCATGAAAAACTTAATGACACAGTTGTATAAAATTTGTATCAGGCTGCATAACTCTATTAACAAAATTACACACTGTACTAAAAAATACTCTAACATTAAAATAATTTATATAGGAAAGGGCAGAAGCAGAGTTGGAACGCCTGAGACAACAGATAGCAGAAAAAGAACGTGAGTTGGAAGAACTAAAGCCAAAGTATGAGGAGATGAAAGCACGAGAAGAAGAATGCACGAGAGCCTTGGCACTGAACCAACAGAAGAGGCAAGAGCTGTACGCAAAGCAGGGGAGAGGCACACAGTTCACTTCTAAGCAAGACAGAGATCGCTGGATTGAAAAGGAATTAAAGTATGTAATTACTGTAATGCTTCGTTTTAGTTAAGGGTTCAGCACTTGCAATCAATTTGCAATTAGATCCCCGCCGGGGCTAATGCAAATGTCAATAGCAATTTTAATTGCTGATTTACCACATACTCTGTGGTGAAAAAACATCGTGGGGAAAATTGCAGGTATGAGAAATGAAAAAAAAATTTCGAAGCCATGTGAAGACCGCCAACACATACTGGGGTAGCGCGGCGGACACTTCCCTACCCAACACCTTCTCAGAAATTAATGCTCAGCTATGGAATGCAAAGTGGGAATTTCAACATACGTGGGAAGCATATGAAATAGTCCACCTAATTCTTATCCATCAGTATGTGAAAGTCTCAGTAGCGTAACTAGCGTAAACGAGTTGGTATGATATATACCTTACCCGTTCGTTGGCAGCCATTACATTTTATCTAGACATTTCTTATAGTTGCCTCTTGCGATACCCATAAGGCAATATGGTGTGCTAAATTCTCTTACACCCCGTAAAGAAATATTAGTGCTTATTATATGGTAAACAGTGTTTAAAATATTGGCATTGAATTAATTGCATTTTATATCAGATTTAAAAGCGTGCATTTAAACAAACTATAAAAATTCTTGTAGCAGTTTTATTGATCAATTCATATTTATATTATTCATATTTCATATTATTTCTTCAGGTCATTAAATAAACAGATAAAAGACAAAAAGGACCACGAAAACAAGTTGAAGGAAGATTTACGTCGCGATGCGGCGAAACTAACCGAACTACAGAAAAAGATAGAAGATATGACGAAGGAGATGGAAAGACAGCGTGTGGCTATTGATGAGCACAATAAACAGTATTATGAGTGCAAGAAGAGAAAGGACCAGGAACAGAGCGCCAGAAAGTAAATATAGCTTCATTCCTTGATCCTTCCTCGATTACGATGATATCTTAACATTTATGCTCAAAAGACCGTTAAATAAAATATTTTTTTTAATAATCGGTTCTTATGGTTACGCGAACAGTACCTACACATTTAAATAAAACAAATTTTTACGGATTTTATCGCATGTAGTAACTCATTTTACATTCTTAACGTTTCGAGCACTTTACAGCATCGCATCTATGGTCACGGGTCACTGAGGTGTTGGATGTCCCAATTTCTTAGTTAACCACGGCTACCTTCAGATTAAAATTATTAATTTTGGGTTCGATCTACGCAGTATGTACGAACTTATAGTATCTTGAAATCTTTCTGGTGTATGCTTGGGTTGAGATTTAATTTTATTAATTATAGGATCAAAAGCAAATGGTAGCGCGCGCAGCCATCTCTATTGATTATGATAATGATGACCTCCTGTTATTGATGAAAATGACGTCATCTTGCAAATACTGTCAAAAGGAGAAGTAAGTGCGACAAGTGTACGCTGAAATACACAAGCACTTACGTGTCTTAACGCAACCTTGTCCGTTGACATTCTGTCACGGGAATAATCGCAACGCAACTCAACCTAAAAACCAACAATTTTTGAATTTTTTATTGTCAATTACTAACTCGAATTGGACTTATAACCAAAACTTTCTCTTTTTATAAAAAAGATGATAAAGAAGAAGAGAAAGATGTAATGCAATTTTTTAAATTTAATTAAGAGCATAGTCGGTCTGAGCGAGAATTGAGAAATAGGTATTTGAAGAAACTATCGCCGTCGCGCTGCGCCCGAGCAACCGAGGTATCAATATGTGAGTGAATAGTCTGTATTTGTGTGCGTAGCTCAGTACCGCGCATTTCCCGCCAGCCCTCGTCTCTTCCGCGCGCCCGTCCCGCACCATCCAAGCCACGTTCGTCTCTCAGTCGCATTGAAGATACAAGATATCGTTTCGATTCGTTTCAAATGATGGTGCTGTTTCGCACGTGGTTTATTCCATGTTTATCCCAGCGGTTTATCAGCGGTTCCAATACCACCTATTGTGGACGCTCATTATATGCATTTATATATTGCCTATCTCATAAAACAATATAATTGAAATTCACCTTCCGACTGGGGTTGCCATCGGTGGTAGGGCTTTTACTTGTTTTATAAATTTTTGCTTGTGCGAGGCACTATTGTGGTTTCATTGTTTTGATGTAAAATACTGTGTAAACTCGTTAGAACTATATTCAAAAGACAGTATTTTTTGCACGGAAAAGGGACATATTAACTATTTAAAATACCCATAAGCACCTTTTCTGCCACATAAATAAAATTAAGAATTATAAACTCCTCAGTAAAGCTGTTTACCAGTTTATAATTTTTAATTTTAAACAAGTAATCAGAATTATCACACCAAGCAGTAGAGTGCGAACATTAGTTACATATTAATTGATTATGGTTTGTAGTTTTTCAAAAGACACTGCTTAAGTTCATTTTAAATAATGGTAAACGTTAATTACCTATAACCTCTTAAAATATCATTGAATTGTTACTTCGTTGTCTCTTGAAAAAATACAAATGTTCTGTGCCGCCTGTAAATCAGTATAGGATAAGCGTCGATATCGACGGGCATCACTATGATATCGATAAAAACTTCGACAGTTCTTACTTTCCTAATTGTGTACGTAATAACACAGAATAAATAATAGTACTAATGTCCTCTAGACATAATTTCGGGCACGGCGGTCAGCTTCAACGGAAACTAGAGATCGGCGCAAGACAGAATTATAGTGCCTTAGTATTACATGCGCAAGCACAGGTGCACTCTCTATTCCCTCACTTTCATAATCCGATGAGACGGTACACCGACACGACCAGAAAGAGATCAGGCGCATGACCAACGGCTTTACGTGCTTTCCGAGGCATGGGGGTGAAACACCGCCTACTTCCTGACTCCGGGCAGCTACTGAGAATTTCTTGACGGAAAAACTCAATTGATTTCTTTTGCCCGACCTGGGATTCGAACCCAGGACCTCATGATCAGCAGTCGCACTACTACAACCACTAGACCAACGAGGCAGTCAGAAATAGCACTACGTAGTATTTGTCTAAACCCTGCCTCACCTCTGGTCTCCCCCCATAGAGTGCGATATGGACAACTGCAGCTTAGAACGATTTTGCCTACAAAAACCATGACCGATCGACGTTTCGTATTCCCCTGTTTTCCCCACGAAAACTAAGCCGATAAAATTATTTGTTTTTATCTTAAAAACTTCAAATTTCTTTGGTAGTCGTCTCATTACGGAGGTAAAAACGGGGCATTTATTTAGGTTTTTGGTACATATACATTTTTACATATTTATTTTTGTAATAATTTTTTGGGGAAAATTAAATGACAGGGGCATGCCTTGAACTTTGAACTTGATTTTTACAAACAGAAACGATTACTCTAGAGGCATTATCTAGGAAGAGAATAAGAGAATACATTTGTATGTAAAAAATGAAGCCCGTCTACGCTCTTAAGATATATATTACAAAAATTTTACATATATCAAATTTTATTCCACAAAAATAGACTTGTATTGTTAGTTAGGCTACCTAGGCTTTTTAGTTACGTTTCCCCACACGTCTTATATTTCCAATCTCCATTAATAAAAAAAGACATATCGTTTATTGATTTTCTTATTATTTTAGCGAACTTTGGCGAAAAGAAACTACACTTACACAAAATTTGACATCACTAAAAGATGATTTAGCTAAAGCGGATCAAGCACTTCGCTCAATGGCTGGGAAGGTAAGTAAACATTATTTCTTATTACTCTTTAAAAGACAAGTTTCGTTTGTCTTTTTGAAAAAAAAGTTGATTTAATGGGTGCGTTTGGCAGAAAAAAGCGCTAGCAAGCGCTTGTAAGCAAAATGGCGATCGTAAGCGGTAAGCGATAAATCGTAAGTAGCTATTTTCCTCTAGGACACGAAGTTAGTAGCGGATTGTGTCAGTGCTACTGAAAGTAGCAATCGTGTCCTGGCCGAAAAGTATTTCAGCGCTTGTAAGCTCTTGCTAGCGCTTTTTTCTGCCAAACGCACCCATTAATTTAGTGCTTAATTTTTTGATAGATGTTATGTACAGCTGTTGTTGTTACCGTATGAAAATGACTTCAAATGACTTTTGTATATTTTTATAAGCTTTTATTAGCTTACAACAAAACCGTGTAAACTAACTGTGACTCCACTTCTAGAATTTTTGTACTCTGTGATAAAGTGGCAGTGCCCTGCCTTGAACCAGAGTAAATAACTCTACTAACTAAATAACTAAGTGGTCGCTTTATTTTCTCTGCTACTGTAAGTGCATCCGCGTTTGTGTGCGTTCATTGGAACATGCTTGCATAAAAATTCGTTACTCTTGTTTATTCTACTTAAACTATATCTGTTGTATTTTTTAAAATAACTAAACAAAAGATAATTGTTACTTGAATCCCTAACGCTTCAATACAACTCTGCTACCGAGTTTTAGTCTTAAAGTAAAGTAAAGTTACAGTCTATATACATGCCACTGCCTCTACAGTCCTCTCATTTCTGAGAAGGTTTTAGTCTTACCACTTATAATATGTTACAGCCAATATTAAACGGTCGGGACAGTGTTCGCAAAGTGTTAGAGACATTCCAAGAGAGAGGAGGCGAGTGGGCGAAGATAGCCACACAGTACTACGGGCCCGTCATTGAAAACTTCACATGTGACAAAACTATTTATACCGCTGTGGAGGTAAGAAATTTTGCTTTTTGAAGAGAATTATCCTGTAAAATCACATTCTAAAAATAAAAAAATAACTGAGGCTGTGAACCTGCTTGCCAAGCGTGGCCAATATGGCAAATATCTGCCCTATGAGGCAATCTATGAGACAGACCTATGTTCAGCCGTGGACTTTTAGTTTGTATCAGTAACATAGAATATAACTCAACAGTAACGGGAGACAGGGGATTTTAACAAATTTTTTTATAACTTTGTGCTCCGAGACAGCATAATGGTTAATCAAAACTGTATATATTTTTTTGAATACAGTTCACGTGTGACTATTGACACAGATTATGTGCGAGTGAGACTAAATTTGGTTATAGGGTAGAGGAGGAAGTGAGAGATACAAGTGTCGTGCCTTTTTTGCTTAAAATTTATTGTTTTATTAAGTGTTGTTGATTTACTATAGTAAATTTTTCTGTCTTGGTGGAGGTTTTAACATCTGTAAATTAGTAAGTGTTTGTAGTTGTGCCGTTTTTATGTAATTTTTTTGTTGTAGTAATATAATGGAGGACGAACCTCCCGATCCCGGAAGGGTTCGCAATGATTCCTTTTCCTTACCCAATAATATTGATAATGTAGAACTAATTAACTGTAAACGTGCCCAAGTAAGTAACGAGTCTGCCCATCCACAAAAAATAGTTATTACTGATCCAAATCAACAGTTTCCTTCAATACAATCCTCATATACCCATCCTGATTTTATTAATAAAAAAGTTACGTGCTCTCAAGATGCCGCCGCTCCTTTTCTAGTTCACGTAAGTAAAATCTCAAATGATCAGCTGTCTGGAGTAACTTTTAAACCAATTCAATTCCGTCACTTTCTGTATCATAACAATATTAAAAATATGGTCCATGATGGAGTGAAAAAAGTTGGACGAAATAGAATATCAGTGGAGTTTAAAACAGCAGCAGATGCAAACACCTTTATCGATCACCCAGCTCTCCAAATTTCTAAATATGAAGCAACCATTCCCTCATATAGTATCACTCGTATGGGGCTGGTTAGACAAGTTCCCATAGAGTGGACACTGGAAGAATTAATAGCAACTATAGAAATTCCCTCTGGCTACGGTTCTATAATAAAAGCATGGCGACTTAATAGACAAACAGTGAGTGACAGCAATAGCGTTTCATGGGTTCCAACTCAGACAGTTGTTCTAACTTTTTCTGGACAAAAACTTCCTCCCCATATTTACTGTTTTTACACCTCTATGCCAGTGGAAAAATATGTTTTGTCACTAATTCAATGTCTTAAATGTTGTAGATTTGGCCATGTTACTTCCCAGTGCCGATCATCCCCTCGCTGCTTTGTATGTGCGCAGAATCATGAAGGTTTATCTTGTATTCGACAAACTCCTACTTGTCTCTTCTGCTCAGGTCCCCACACCGCAAAGGACCCTACTTGTCCTGAACATCTAAGGCAAAAATCTATTAAACTTGTTATGTCACAGGAAAATATTTCATATTTAGAAGCTTCAGCTAGATTCCCTCAGACAAAAAGATCCTTTGCTGATACAACAAGGATCCAGCCTCGTAATTGTTCTTAACAGACCCCTTATACCATAATTGACAGTCTTTCAATCCCTTCGGCTCAGCTCTCACAAACTGCATTATATAAAAAAAACTATTTTTATCCCTCAACGTACCTACAACCAATCATTAAATTCTGGATATGGTATGGCAGCCGTTCAGGCAATTGTTGAGAATCCTAATTCTTCCCATCCTAATGGGTGTGCTCTACTGGGGAATGACAACAACTCCTCTAGTAATGATAATTTCTGCGAACTTATGATATCACACATGATCTCCCGTTTTAGTGACGCAGAACTTCCTCTCAGCTTACGCCAAAAACTTACTCAGCTTTCCTCCTTATCCCGTAACATTCGCAGTCCCACCAATTCTTCAATGGAATTGTCGGAGCATTAGAAATAAAAAAATGAACTCATTTACCTCATTAAAAAACTTCATCCCTTCATTCTTGCCATCCAGGAGACATGGCTTAGGCCTGAGTCTCATTTTAGGGTTTCAGGCTATGCATGCCTCCGGGATAATAGGAGTGATGGTCGTGCTGGCACCTCTATTTTAATTTCAAGAACAGTTACATTTTCACAAATTCCTCTCCCTTCTCATAGTCCAGCAGTAAATGCTGTTGCTATTAAGGCCCTTGATGTCTCTATTCTCTCTGTTTACATTCCTAATCCTGATGTAAATGTTTTAACAGAACTTGCAACACTTATTTCTTCTCTGTCACCTCCTATGGTTATTTTGGGAGATTTTAATATGCATCATACTATTTAGGGCTCCCATCTGTGTGATTCGCTGGCTCCCTTATTTTTAGATCTTATTGATAATTTTAATCTCTGTATTCTAAATTACGGGTCTCCTACCCGTCGAGTATCCCCATTACAAAATGTTAGAAGTGCCGTTGACCTAACTCTCTGTTCCCCAGATATTGCTTCCCTTCTTTTGTGGCAAATAATACCTTCTAGCTATGGCAGTGACCATTTTCCTATATTCACCACTCCTCCTACTTCCCCCTAGAATAAATTTTACATTTTGCCCGAGACTAAAGTATAATCTATCCAAAGCTAATTGGCAATTATATTCTACAGTTTTGGAACGAGAGGTTTCAACTCTTCCCCCAATTAACAATGATAATATTGTTCCTGTATATATAGAGTTCAGAAATGCAATTGTTTCTGCTGCTAATAAGTCAATCCCCTTAAAAAAACATTCAAAAATAGTTATCCTTCCCCTCCTTGGTGGGACCAAGATTGTTCAGCAGCTTGTGGGAGAAGAAAAGAGGCTGAATTAATATACTCCCATTCTATGACTGCAGAGAATTATATCTCCTATAAAAAATTTCTGCAGAAACCTTAAAATTACTGTCAGACAAAAAGCGAACTGGTTGGTTTAAATTCTGTGAGTCACTGTCATCGAGGACTCCCCCATCTTTGGTCTGGAGAAATGTTAAAAAATATCGCTATGCAGTTTCTAGTGAAAATATAATTTCTAATGATCCTTCTCCATGGATAGATGAATTCTCTGATAAACTTGCACCACAAACAGTCTCATCTTATGATGAATGCCTAGTTTTTAATTCTGCTTTTTTAAAAACAAATGATTTTTCTTTTCTGTACGTTTACTGTACTTAATGGCCTTAAAGACTCCTCACAAGGTATTCTTAGTAGTGAGAACACTAAAACTGTCATACTATCCGTTTTTAATTTTATTTATATTACCGGTGATCCTCCTGCTGAATGGAAAACCCAAATTATTTTGCCCATACTCAAACCAGGTAAGTCTAGCAATGACCCTTCCAGTTACTGACCTATTGCCCTTTCTTGTACTTTGGCAAAAATCTTGGAACATTTAATAAAAAATTGTTTGGAATGGTTTTTGGAAAGGAATAATCTCTTACCTAAAAGTCAATTCGGTTTCCGAAAAGGTTTAAGTACCATGGATAGCCTTAGTACTTTGGTCACAGATATTCATATTGCTTTTTCAAGACATGAATTTCTCATAGGAGTTTTCTTGGATATTTCTTCTGCATATGATAATGTGCTTCTTCCTGTGCTCATGTAGAAAATGCTTAATCTGAGCATTCCAGTGATTCCTCCTTTAAGATTAAGAAGGCAATACCTTTCAGACAGATTCTTATTTAAGATCTGCCAGCTTTCAGATCATCCCCTAATTCCTAAATTGCATCTTCTTTCAGAGTATATCTCATCTGACTGCTTGTTTAAAAGTTTTGTAATTTTTCTTCAGCTTCCTTACCCAATCTTTCAATGTAAAATAAATCCACTCTTTGATGTCCTTTACGAGGCTATTGTTTACCAACCTGACATTCATCTAGATTTGCAAATTTGAAATTAAAAGAAATTATAGAAAACACCTTTAAAGATTGGCTTGTCATGTACACAGATGCTTCCAAACAGTCTGATGAAGACTATACTGGAGCTGCTGTTTGGATTCCTAAGTTCAAAATAATTCTTAACTTTAAATGCCCCTCACTATTCTCCACTTTTCCACTTACCGGTGAAGCAACTGCAATCAGTGAAGCTTTGTTATATGTAGAGTCACATAATCTTAATAAAACAGTTATTTTCACAGATTCAAAAAGTTGTTTGTTAGCTATTTTGTCCAATCAATTCCATAACAAACATAAATTTCCACTAATTCTTAAAATAAAAAATACCCTATTCAGATACCATCTTAAAGGAATCCATGTTTCAGTGGCCTTAATCCTAGGCCACAGTGGTATCCATGGTAACGAAACAGCTGATGTACTCGCTAAAAATGCAATTGCTAATGGCATTCTACGAAATTTAATTTACTCATATGACCTAATTTTGCTAGCTAAAAGGAAATTGAATGAAAATTGGAATAAATTATAGGAAGTTTCCAAAAATGTTAAAGGTAAGCACTATGCTGCCATCCAAGAGGTTATTCCTCCCAAGCCTTGGTTATTAAATTTAACAAAGCAAATAAACATGCAACTTCAATAATTTGTAGTTTAAGAATTGGACAAGCTTGTACACATGTACATTTGGCAAAAGTCAGAGTAAGGGATAGCTCATTGTGTGAATGTGGCTTAGATGAAGGTTCCGCAAACCATATTTTTTTCAACTGTCCCAAATTATCCTCCTCCCTTTATGATTACCTTCCTCCTTATATACCTCGACCTATAGATTTTAATTCTCTTTTAACATATACCAGTACTCCTTTTGTGTATATTTTATGTGATTTTATTAATACTAATTGTTAGCGACGACAAAGTGAATTCGAACATTTAATCTTAATTATTCCTTATCAGTGATTTAAAACTAAGTGATAGTATTTAATTCTAATTGTTTCCTATTCGTAAAATAAAGCTAAGTGTAAAGACTGATAGTGCTGAAAACAGGAAAGTATATTAGACACTTCTATTCTTATCTTAAAGTAACTTATATGAATCTATTTAATAT